CCGGGCGCTTGGTCTGGATCAGGCGGCGGTAGTTCTGCGCGATGTTGCTGTTGCGCGGGATGGTGGATGACTTGTCGAACTCGGGCGGGCCCTCGCTGTCGGCATCCCCGTTCACTGAGTAGCAGTCATAGTCGGAGCCTGGGGCACAGCACGCGGTGAGCCCGGTGGCCCGGGTGTGCGCTGAGCCCCCACGCACCCACGGCGGACACAGGGCCCTCTGTGGGGCGGTGAAGGCCCGGGAACCGGCTCCGGGCCTGCGGGGCCGTGGCCCTCCAGGCCTACCTTGGGAGGGGATGGTGTCCTCAGAGCACGAGGGCGTGGTGGTCTGCGTGCTGTAGCCGCTGGAGTACTGCAGCGAGTCCCGGCTGCTCTTCTGGTGCTCCAGGCTCAGGCCGCGGGTCAGTACCATGGCCAGGTCACTGGCCGCAGGGGACACTTCCTCACCGTGCTGGGGGCGGGGTAAAACTGCAGGCTGAAGCCTTGCCCCCACCTCCCCTCCCCTGGCCTCCAGGGACCCCGCCCAGGTGGCTGGGGCTGAAGACCACCAGCAGGGCCCCAGCTGGGCTGCCCCGGGAGCGGCCTGCCTACCTTGGCTGCGATGCTGGCAGGGGACATCCGGGGTCGCGGCGTCTCCTCCCCAGCGGACCCCAGAGTCCCTGTGCTGGTGGGGCCTGGCTCCGAGTCGCGGAGGAGCTCCACGCGGTCCTTCCTCCGCTGCAGGGTAGTGCCCGCGGGCTGCTCGTGGGAGCCGGCCTTGGACCAGTCCTGCGGGCGGGTGGGCGGGTCAGGGGGCCCCTAGGCCCAGCTGTCCATGACCGGGGGGCCCTCGCTATGTTGGGGCATAGGGTGTCCAAGTCTGGGGGGCCTCTGGCTTGCAACCATGGCTACAGCATGAGCGTGCAGGTGCTGACCCCCCAGTCCCACCAGCCCGGGAAGACAGGGCGACTGGGAGGGAAAGCGTGGTTGTAGGGGGAGGCCGCCCGAGCGACCGGCAGCTTGTCCCGCAGGGACACACCCAGTGCGCACAACCCTCCTGCGGAATCGCGCCCTCCCTGTGGTGAGGAGGGCACACAGAGCCCCTGGGGGCACTGACCGAAGTGGGGGAGCTGCACTCGCTAACAGACTGGCAGGTTTCCGAGGCCTCGGAGGATGCAGAACTGGAGGACTTCTGCCATGCAGAGGCGAGCAGGCAGTGCAGACAGGAGCAGCGGTGCCAGCGCAGAGGCAGGGAGGAGAGAACAGTCGTGGTCACCGGCCGACAGGCAGGGCCGCTGGACCCAGTCCCCACTTCGGTACCACCCAGGGCCACCGTGGGGCTGTCTGCAGTGGGATGCAGCGCAGCGGGCGTGATCTGCCACCTGCTGGCCCACGGCCACCCCCTTGAGGACACCCACAGGATGGCAAGTGGGGGGTGGCCTGAGCAACTGGCATGCCGTCAGTGCTTCCCAGAGCGGGGCGGGGGGGGCATGAGTGGAGCTGAGCTGCCCCGCGGTTGTCCAGCACAGATGCCCAAGTTTTAGTTTAGGAAGAAGTCAGAATTGGAGGCGGATAAAGCCCCCAGGTAGTGAGTGCAGTTAGAGCCAAGTTCACAGCCCAGGCCCTCAGAGCTGCGGACACTTAGTG